GCAACTAGGAGCATCCTACCTACTCAAAGATCTTAAATGTTCTTTTCCTCCTCCTTTAGATGTGGCTATCTTACATTGATTTGGTAAGAAACCCCATCGTTGGATGTGATGGGACAGGCGCGGGTCAATCGTACAGTCATAGAAGGCAACTTGTGAGACGCTTTAGCAATTTTTCACGAGGGACTAGATCGTTTTACCGAAGGCAACATCGAGGGACATCGAGGGACTACGATATTTTTTTATCGAAGGGTCTTTGCTAAAGCATCCCATATTCGAGGAACATGACTGTGTTTCTGAGGCAACAAGCGAGGTTACCCTAGAGGTGCGCGTATGAAAGTGTCCTATATAGATTAGTTGGACTCCTTCTAAGATCTTGATCTTCTCTTAAAAACTTTTGCAATATAGATTCATGTGAAGAGAAAACTTGTTTAAGAGAATTGTAATTTCTAATCCTAACACGTTCTCTTATCCCTTTTGTAGGTATTTGGTTGAGACAACTTCTCATCTTTGTTAATTGTGAGTGGTATAAAATCTTTAAGTGATCTGGGTGACATGTAGCTATTCCTAATGATCATATGGTGCTTTATGAGTTTTAGGGGACATGATTAAGTATAGGCGTGATTATGTCATCTAAAAAGCCTTTAATCATCTCATCTATAAGGGAATCACAAAATCAGCAAAAAATATGGAGGAGAAAATATATTTTTTGGTTTATAAATGATATTTGGGTAGATCAAAGATGAACTCTTATATTTTTACTGAGTGGTTTTAGAATTTTATCCTCTACATGCACCTATTGTTTGCTTAAGTTTTGAGGTAGTTTTTGACTTTTAACCTTTTGATGCTATTTTGATGGAATTAATTTGTTGATGGTGAATCTGATAACTTGAAATCTAACATATTGCCAACAAGATAGATTTTATGGGAATTTACTAATGCACCCTATACATTACTAGGACACCGCGTGAATATACATTTATGCCTTCAGGTTTCGGAGATACATCTTCGGACGTATCAAAATACAACACACTTCTAAATCAATGGAAAGAATTATCCAGAGATACGTCTACCTAAACCTTATGTAGATGCATCTCTGGACGCAACAAAACTCAAACTCTGAATCAGGCCCAAACTCCACGTGCAATTATTCTAGAGATAAACCTTCATAAAGCCTACGTAGATGCATCTCCAGATGCTTTTCGTTAAAATACGCACCAAAAACCCTTCACCTTCCTCACTTACTCAAATATTATCAAAAACCCCATTTTATCAAAATCTCTAAAACCTCATTTTTTTCAAAACCTGTCAAACCACATTCAAGCAACATCAAACTGTATCAATCAACTTCAAACATCCAACTTTAAGCAACATCAAACAACAACAAGCAACTTCAAGACACTAATTGTAAGCTTTTTATAAATGTTTTTAAGATTTTGTATAAATGGGTAGAACTTGATGTTTAGGCTATAAAATAGAAAGATCTTACTTGTTTGATAGCTTATATCTGATTAGAAACGAGTTAGATAGGTATTTTTAACAATCAATGCATTGATTTTGATGATTTTAGGGGTTGCACTCTGCCATTGACAGTGGTTATAATTGTAGGAAATTCCAGAGATGCATCTCTAGAATTTTCCAACGTTTACCCAAAAATCGGAGATGCATCTCTGTAATCAGTTTGTTTGTAATGTTTTGCGTTTTTTTGTACATAACTCATTGTGTAATGCTTGTCTTATCTATTTACAAAAATTATGGTTGAAAGACAATCTCGATTGAGACACGGTAGGCTTTCACAATATGCATTCGTTTAGAGAGAAAAGACTCAACAATCACTTGCTTATGCTACCTCCGGTCTGATTGATGCGAAGGCGTCAGGTTCCAGGGCTCATGTATCTTCGCCTTCTTCTTCCTCTTTCCGTAGCAGGCGAGGGTCCCCTCCTTAGGCATCCCCGCCTTCATCTTCTTGTAGACGATTGAGTTCACATATTTAGGCACCCGAGGCAGTAGAGGTACCTGAGTCACCCGAGGTACCTCAAAGTCTAGAGGCACCTAAGGCATCCCAAGCCTGGGCGACAGGCGGAACTTGAGGCATCCCAGGCAACAGAGGTGGCGCTTGAGGCATCTCAGGCCCAACCAACAGAAGTACCTCGGGGTTTTAGAGGAGACCCCTCAGACATATCACTGTTATCTCTTTATCCGAACCATGTTGTCAGACATATCTGGGACGGGGAGGTAAAATTTAGTTGGAATTATTCATTTGAAGTTGTGTTTGATTGTTGGAATCATTCTTATTAAACTATGTATGCATGAACGTGATCCACTAAAATTCATCAACCATATGTTGGAGATTACTTGTCTGGTTCCACGTAATGTGTAATGGTTTCAGGAAGTTTTGCAGCTATCAGGGATGCAGGACTTGTGCAAAACCGGTTATGTTACAATTAACCATGCCATGCTTAATGCGTTTGTATAGAAATGGTACATGGAGACGTCATCATTTTATCTACCACATGGTGAGATGTCTATCACACAGGACGATGTCTCGTGTATGCTGCATCTTCGGTCAGGGACAAATTTTTAGATCATGGGAAGATTACCAAAGATGAGGCACTTGAGTTGATGGTAAACTATCTAGGAGTTGACCCAAAGGCTGCTATGGAGGAGCTTAATTTCACTCGTGGGTCTCATGCTAGGTTTAGCTTTTTGAAGAAGGTGTTTACAGATGAGACGCTGAGATCACAACAAGCTGTTGGTGATAACGAGCAGGTATATCAGCATATAGGGTATGCCATGAGAGCATATCTGTTGTATTTGGTTTACACTGCCATTTTTGTGGATAAGAGTGTCACTTATGTATATGTCATCTACCTGCGATACTTCGAAGACTTTGAGCGTATCTATGAGTACAATTAGGGGCCGCTTGTTTGGTCTACTTGTACTCTAAGTTATCTAAAGGTGTATGTGGAAGACGAAACAGGTGAAAAACATTATCACACTTTTGACGGTAACATTTCTTGTTCTTGTAGCGCTTGTGTGTCATTTTTATTAAATTTTTGCAAAGCCATTACTAACTAATGATTTGTGTGTTCCAATATTTTTCAGACTTGGATCCTCTAGCACTTCCTACACATTTATGGTTGGTCATGTCTACCGACTTATACTGAGGATATGCCATTTGCTTTTGCATTCTCCCCGCTCAGAGAGAACTAGGCGACCAAGCCACTCAGAGTGTATAATGACCACTTGACAATAGAGGATATACACTTCCATTGTTACTTCGATCACCGTTAGACGATTCCCTTTGATGAAAGTCTTATACTCAGGATGGTTGGCTTGCGGGTCACGTTTGAACTCTCCTTATCTGCCTGAGCGCGTCATGCGTCAGTTCGACTACATGCAGTATATTTTCAGAGATCCTTCTGTGTCTGCTCCTCCCACTGCAAATCGTAGAGATATGGATGCTATGTTTGATGATTATGTTAATCATCTGGTACCAAATAAGACATGGAGTACCATAACTGAGAGTGATTGGAGCTATGTAGATGATTACAATCGATGATTCTTCTGGGTGTCACATCCTTATATGGTACATGATGCTCCAAGAGATCCATCTAGGCCAGCTTATCAGGAGATACTATATGAGGAGCAGGATAGAGAAGATCATGTTATTGATGTGTTTCTTAGATGTCGTCGTATCATGCAAATTAGGCAGGCATGTATTGACGGATTAATCTTTCTGGATGGCTCTGAGGTGAAGGGAGTTGTAGATGCCATGATGGCAGAGGCGAGGGAGGCTCTGCGATACATGAGGCAACGTAGGAATAGAGGGGTCTGAGGCCGAGGCCGACTCCGAGTTCGTCACACACTATATATTATAGTACTTTCACTCTTTATACATTTTAGGTTGCATTTTATTTATCGACCCTGTTGTAACTTTTGAATTAGATTTATGTACTCTTGACTTATAACTTTATATATGTCATTTTCTTCATAGCCTTAGTATTATCGAATTATAATATACCTTATAACTATTTGATCTGAGAATCACTTAAAAATAATTAGAGTTTACTATTTGCATTGGATGCGAAAATACATCTCTGAATGCTTTACGTAGAAGTATCTCCGAAACAATCTAACACTTATCAAATAAAATAGTTTCCTGATATGCATCTCCAAAATAATCTACTCCCTCCATCCCAAAATAATTGTCATAGTTAACACTTTCACACAGATTAATAAATTGTAATAAATGAAAGAGAGATGCCAACTATTGATGTATTCAAATTAACATTAATGTTAAGTGGGAAAACAATAAAATAAGAGTATTTATTAAAAGGTACAATTGAAAGATTAAAAATAAAACTGCATTGACAATATAAAGTGACAAATAATTTTTTAAAATGTGAAAATTATTTTTGAACGAATGGAGTAACATTTAGCAAAATAAAAAGTGTGTGCAGAAATACATCATTTTGAGAATTACATAAAATGCTTTTCAAGTACATAGTGAGTTAAGAAATCTCTATTGTTTTGTTGTATTTTTCTTCTTTTGTTCCTTTTGAATTAAATTTTAACGCCATTCGATACATTATTGAAGTGTTTCAAGGTTAAGACATTAATTTAGAAAAATTTACCAAAGGAAAGAAAGAACACAGCTTGGTTAAACAAACTCTAATCACAGATGAATATACTTTTTAGTACATACTTGCTCACAGAAACAAAATCTTTAATATAATTTATAAAATTGTAATATTTATATAAAACTTCAACTTTAAATAAAACAAGCTAGATCAATTCCCCAAAATTCTCCTTATGAAATCACCTACTGATTACTGTGGAGGCAATTCTAACTATAACTGTTACACAACAAGAGAAAAAAAGTTTATTGAAGAGCACACCTTCAAATCCATCCGAGCCCCAGAAAGGAAAGCTATGCAACAAGGCCTACAGGCTGGAATAGCACAATCATTCACCAAGACCGGCGATGAGTAAGGCAATATCTAAGATGAATCTTTGTCGCGATTGTGGCTAAGAGAATATTCAAGCTGCGCATTTCTTCTTGCACATTCCAAGATAGTTTTATCGGCGGTGATGAAGTATCCTGCAATGGATGCTGTTCACAAACCAACAACAAAGTGTTAATATGCATTCAAAAGATAATAGCATATCTCTCTTAAATCAATTGTTTGGTTATTTTGAGTTGAGATTGTACCGGCAGATATGATAAGTGCCTGCGCGGTGTAATTGAGATTTGCTTTTGCCCATGGAATCATGCGAACAGCAGTTAACTGCAAATTTGAAAAGTATATCATCGAGGGACATTGAATGACAAAATGTTATATTTCAACATAATTCCTAATCATCCAAAAACATCCGAGGGTTACGCTTGCCAAAATGAGGTTTCAAAAGGGTAATCGGTCTTAAAGTCGAACAAGCCACATGGAAGTTGAATCCATCAAGATCAATTGTGAGTACTGCACCAGGGTGATAGTGATAGGAACTTGGTCTCTTATTACAAAAAAAAAAAACAGGGAAAATAAAAGCTTGATTACAACACTTTCGAGCTTCAAGAGTCTACAGCTCCAAATGCCTAATGGCCACAACACAACTCGATCAAGGAAAATGATGTTTGTCACAAACACCAACCTTACGAAAAGTAATGAATTCACATGATTGGTCAATTTGAGTCTTCAGATATGTACTTAATGCGTGCTGGTGATGTAAAATTGCATCCACTAAAAAACCGATGTCTTAAAGAGCATGGAAGATTTTCTTTCACCAATTCATGCAGACATGAACACCAACAAGCAGAAGAATTGCATGAACTTCTATTATAAGTGAAAGCTTCATTCAAGAAAGAAACTACATAAAACACACAGCATAGTATCTTTATTAGTAGGTCCCCGGACAGAAAATGTACTTACAGTAGGCACGGAACTGGCAATTGCTGCAATGACAGCCGCCTTGAATCCAGCACGCACGCCTTCTGCATATTAAGAAAAGGCTAAAGAGTAAGGATATGTATGTAATTCGTATTTCTCATTATGTCCGGCACCCTTACATATGCCATGCTCTATCGATAAAAATGAAAATCTAGGAGACAGAAATAAAGACAAATATTTGATGCATCGCCAGCTACGATAGTACCATCACAAACATGACACCATACATAACACGACTTATGTAATAATTTGAGAAAATGTAACCGCAGCACGCCTTCAACATCAAATGTTGGTCATGTTAAACATGCATTAGCTCAAGCTACTCCAATTAGGTTTAACATTGATTTTGCCAATCAGCATAAGAGTAAACAAGTAAAAGTTCTATGTACATCATTCAAGAATTATTTTTCCAACATATTCTGGGCCAGTCATAAGCCCAATTACAAAGAGGCCTAACCCGAATTATTATCAGTGTTGGCGTGTCAGTGTCCGTGTCGTGTCTGATGTCTCAGCTTCATGGAATATATATCTCAAACAAAAATCCTAATACCAACAGCATGCAAATATGGAGCAATTATTTCATGTATAATCAGCCAAAATACATCATCAAACAATAATCACCAACTAACCTAAACCACATAATTAGATGTCAATTAAACCAAAAAAAATTTGTGAATTATGTAAGAAAGAATGAGAATGAAAATTTACCATCGGTACATTTCTTAGTTCTTAAGATCTTCCTCTCTTCATCGGGAGAAGGAATAAGGAAAGGTTTTCTGTTGGAGACCCAAGCGTCCCTAACTTCTGAAGGAATACCCATTTTTCTTATTGTCTTTGAATCGATAGAACCTTAATTTCGATGGTTGCTGATTGACAAAACAAAATTGAATGTTTTGTTCTTTGTTCATACACACGTGTTTGGCAACAAGTTTTATGAAATAAATTGATTCGTTGGGTTGGGCTATGACTATGAGGGTTTTCAACACCTCCAAGTTGCACTTGCCACCTCACATATTTTTAAAGATAGTTTCTTAGTATACTCTATGTACTTGAAAAGCATATGATGAAAATCTAAAATTGTTTTCCATATTTTAGAAATGTATTTTTAGACGCATCATTATTTGCTAAAACGTTAAAGATGTCTCAGGTGTCTCTATTGTCTCTTGAGTCGGGGATAACTCGGATATCTCTATTGTTTCGGGTGTTTGAATAAGTGAACTTTATCGTCTACAGGAAGACGAAGGAGGAATGTATGACGAGGGGACATGTATCTCCTATGGTAAGATGAAGAAGAAGACAGATACATGAGTCCCAGAAATTGACGAATTCGCATCAACCGGCTAGAGGTAACAAGAGTCTCCGATGGTTGACTCCCCCCCCCCCCCCCCCCCTCCCCCGAACAAATGCATGTTATGAAATCATGTCGTGTCTCAATCGATCTTGTTTATCATTCATAATTTATGTAAGTAAACCACACCACAAGCGTTACATAATGAGTTAAATCCAAAAAAGACAAAAAAAAAATGCAGACAGATACACTAAAGAGATGCATCTCCGATTTCTGGGTTTCCAAATGTTACAAAATTCCAGAGATGCATCTCCGGAATATTCTGTAACTCTCACCATCGTCAATGGCATAATACAGATCTCCAAATCATCAAAATAATGCATTGATCATAAAAACTACATATCAAATAGTTGCTTGAAGTTTATTGATTTGACTTGATGAAGGAAGTTTTCAAGTTTTTTGAATGTGGTTTGAGAGAGTTTGAGAAAATGAATATGTTTAGAGTTGTGTTTTTTAGAAGTGAGAAAAGAGAAAGGATTCTGGCACGTTTTTTAACAAATAGTGTTTGGAGATGCATCTCCATAATGTATACGAAGATGTATGTCTGTAATATTTTTCATTAAACTAAGACTTGATTCAGAAATGTATTGCATTTTGGTGCGTCCGGAATGCATCTCCGTAATATATATGAAGATGTATCTCCGTAATATTTTTCCATTGAGTTAGGGCCTTGTGATACGGTGGGAGAACTGACTTGAGGTTTTGCGTTTGTTTTCGCAAATATTTCGGTTGAGTAAGAGTCGCCACCGACTTTTTATTTTATCCTAAGGAAAGGTTAAAAAGCACAGCAAAAACCTTTGAGATGTTTTCTTGGGTTCGGGGAGTAGATTATAGAAAGGGAAGGTATTAGCACCCTTTCTATCCATGGTTATCCATGGGCTCTTAGTTACTTGCTTAGATCAACTTGCCTTGGTTTTCAATTGTTTGAAATGGTGCTTTGTGTGTGTGGGTTTGAAAATGTTTTGAAAAGAGGTCAATGTGGTGGCAACCTTTGTAATGATCCATGTTGGGATGTATACAAAGGTGTATGTCTTTTGAAAAGGTTTTCAATGTTTTTAAAAGTCATGTTTTGAAAGTGTATTGATGTGTGGTTTGAAAAATAGGCAAGTGTTTTATTTTGCAAGTTGGCAAGTAATCAAGAGCTACCTACCCTAAATTTCTCAAAGATCTTTGCTATGTTTTAACCCTTTTAACAATTTTGTTCCACCATTGTATTTGGTGGACAATCTTGTGTTAGGATGTGAAAGGGACGGGCGTGGGTCATTGTTTAGACCATAATTGCAATGGTGCCAAGTATCTTTGGGCAATTTTCTTTAAGGGACTTGATCATTTTTAGGCAACTTTCGAAAGCGTCATCGAGGGACTATGATCATTTGAATTGTGTTTTAGCCCAATGATATCTAACATGCAATATGGCCCATTATTGAAGGCAACAAGTGGAATACCCTAGGGGTGCAAGTGTGATTAGTGTTGTCCATTTTCATGCTTGTTTATCTTGAAGTTAGGTCAAACTATTTTTGGTTAATTGATTTGCATACAAACCCTAATTCTAGCATGGCATATTTATAATGCTTTTAAATGCGAAAAATAAAAGGTCCTAAATTATTACAACACAATATATGGGATGGGGGTACAAATGTTCAAATGGGGGTATTTTGACAAGAATTAAAACTTAAGCTATTACATCAAATTGAAATTCTACAAGGTATTTAATCACACAAGTATTAAATAAATGAAAATAAATATGCAAAATGCCAAAATGGTTTTCATATGTATGTAAAAAGTATTTATCATGTATCAAATAAATAAAATTAAAATTAATTAATTCTTGGTATTTTTATGTATTTAGGGTAAAACCCTAATTTTATAAATAAAAAGTATTTATTACATAATATATATAATATTTATTAATTATGTACAAAAAATAAATGAAAAGAAAGTATATGGAAAAAAAGTAATTTTTAAGTTAAATATTAGTAAAAATAAAAATGTATTATTTTATTATGTTTTTAACCTAAATGTATTAATAAATACATAAATATTTATAATATTCACTAAATACTAAATATATGTATAATAATATTTAATATTTACAAAAAAATGTATTTTTTATAAAAGTTTTTTAAAGGTAAAATAAAACAAAAGTCAGAAAACAAAAAGTATTTGTATTATTTTAGTATTTTAAATAAAAGAGTATTTATGTATTATTTATATGTACAAATATCAATTTAAACAAATAAATGCCTAATAAATACAAAAATGGTTTGGAAAATATTTTTTATATTTTTAATATTATGAAAAAAAATAAATAAGTCAGAAATAACAAGAAAAGTCAAAAAAATGTTTCAAATAAGCACAATGGGCCAAGGGGGTTCAAAAGTAAAAGTGTGGTGCAAATAGGAAGTCAACTCAGGCCCAGCCCAAGAAGACTTTGTCTTCAACCTCTGAACTAGCTTGAACAACAACAACACGCGTTTTCCTATCTCCAGATTCCCTGATTTTTAGAACAAACTCACAACACAAGAAATGTAGAGCATCAAGCCACGATTCTGGACATATAAAGAAGTCAATCTAACTCTCAGAAATGAGAGAGAATTTCTTCTCCCCCAATTTCTGACCTAGTTTTTGTTCAATGTTCAGACTCAAAATTCTCTAAGTACACATAACATAAATGAAAAGTAATGATATGGGCAGATTCAGGGCCATGAATATAACATAATTTCTTCATAAATCTAAACCTAAATGTGCCTGGATAGAGAGATAGGAGTTCATGAACTTACCTGTTCAGCTTGAATCGTATCTGGCAATGGAAGTGCTTTCGGTGCAAGATGAGGATTGGTATAGCTTGCTTGAGGTCCAAGGATGCTATTCCAGCCTTTAGTTTGCTTTAAAACCAAGTGAATCGTGTTATGGCACTCCAACTGCAAAACAGAAAATATGAAAATGGTGATGTTGGTTAGGGGTGTTACAGGTCGTGTTTAGGGCTTGGAACAGTTTCAAGGGATGGTGTGGGATGTGTTTGAAGTGTTTTTGGCCAAGGTGCACGATGGAAATGAGCTAGCCAAGTCCAAGTGCAGAATACCCTGTTTTTGTGCAGTTTAATGGTGATTCTGTGTTTGATGATGTTTGGAACTTGGTTGGCTTGTGTTTCAGGTCAGGATTAGTGTTTGGAATGTGTATAACAACTTTGCTTAAGCTTGTTCTTGCTGGAATGAGAGTTGGTGTTTTATTTTCAAGTTTTCTTCTCTCTTAAGCAACAAAATGTCAAGTTGTTTTCTAGACTGATGGAGGCCCCTCTAATGTGCTGCTAAGCTTGCCCTTGATCAGTGGGATTAGCTCAAAAACTTGTGCCAAAGAGATTTGCTGTGTACCTCTTGATTTGCAAATTGACATAAAGTTTCACTTTTCAAAAATGGACATAATGCTTTTTCTATTTTAGGACTAAACCTTCATGTAATGCTTAAACACATAATGCAAGGCTTGAACACAAGGGGTTTGCATTAAATTTATGAGTGCAAATGAGATATAGGACCTGTAATCAAGGAATGCAAGCTGAGTTCAAAATTGCCTAAGTGTATGAACATGTAAATTAGCCATAAACAAAGTGACTTTTTCCCAACTTGCCAAATTCGATTATCCCTAACCATGAGGTTGTTTGATGAGTTATTGGACATTTTGGAAAGCTTGGAATGTGTACTACAATCCATCTTTGTAATACAAATTGAAATTCCAAGTGGAAGCATGTGAAAAGTGGTCTTGAAGTTAGCCAAAAATCCTGCCTAAAATAGGTCAAAATTTCTCTAAGTTAAGAATGGTTTGGTACCCTTGTTCCAAAAATTGTAACTTGAGCTACAAGCTTCTTTTGAGGAAACTTTGTGAATCAAAGTTGTATATTTTGCAATGTACTACAACTTTCATGTTTTGACTTTTCCTTGAATCCAAATGCATCTTGATGAGAAAGTGGGACAAAGTTAGGGAAAAAATTAGGGTTTTTCATAACTTAGAAAAAATTCTAAGTTATGAAAAATCTTCATTTCAAACCCTAATTTGTGATTTTTGATTTCTTGATGAACAAGCTTCAAGATTTGGCATGTTTTGATGAAAAATGAATCTTGACACTTGATTTTGACCAAAAAGTCAAAGTTTGACTTTTCAGTATACAGTCAAAATTGATCAATTGACTGGAAAATTCCACTGTCAATCTTGTGCATTTGGGATCTTTTGAACTTGTTGAGTATGTCAAGACAATTCCATGGGGTCCTTGAGTTCATATGTGAGCTTGGTTTGCCATTGGCTAGGTCAAACAGTCAAAAATTGCCTTTGTGCAGTCAAAACCCTAAGAATGACCATTTTGCCCTTTTGGTGATCTGATCAAATTTCTTGTGGAATTGTGATCCAAACTTGATCAAATGGTCCATATGAGTTCATAATGTTGATGTGGGTTAATTTTCATGAGGTTTGACTGTCAATTG